AGTCATGAGATTGTACATTTCTATTTTTAAAGACTATATACTTGTAATTCAGAAAGATAACTTTAGTAGCAGGGAGTGGGTATATTAAAAGTTTTTTATATGGCTTGTTATATAATCTTTATGATTTGATCTTATTGATAAGATTAAAATGGTGGCTGAAGCCAAAGACCAATAAATAGCACCCCTGGAAGGGGTGCTGGTAAGGATAGATCGCCCCAGGGAAAATGAGAACACATTATTGGTGGGGATGAGATTCTGATGAGAAATATGAGGGACTGCAGAGTCAGCCCCCAGAGTTCAGTGTTCAAGATTCAGTATTAAGAAGTCAGCATTTGGGATTTCAGCATTTTCAGAGCTTCAGTGATTTCCAGGTCAGCGATTTCTGCTCCCTGACCACCTCCCATGTGGATCGTTCAGAAGGCTGAGGCAGGCCTCTGAAGGATGTGGAGAGGCCTCCAACAGCCAAAGTCAGAGAGGAAAAGTCTGTAGTCTTTCCAGGTAGCCAAGTGACTGAAATTGTTCCAGGTTTTGCGGCTGCTACAGCCTGGCAGAGAAGGCGAAGACCTGGAGCCAGAGCATGGCACCTCACTGAGTAGTATGAGTGTGGCCATTTGTTGAGTTTTTCAGCTGCTGCAGCTGCAATATTTAGTGTTGCTTTCCCAGTGCTGCTCTGGGGCATCCCAGCATATCTGGGAGTGTCTTCTGTTATGTCTTCTGCTGTCTTGATCACTTGGATCCTGGCCCATAGTCCGGCTGCTGTGTGCTCCAGGCCCTTTGTGGTAGGGATGTTTGTGTTTAGGAATTTAAAGCACTGGACAATGCATATGCATCAGGTGAGGTAAATGACCGTTTATAGCCTCAGTAACTGTTTGCCCTGGTTTGTTAAATTCCATTATAGGTATTATCTGACCTGAGTAGTTTCGTGATTGTGCACATAGGTGAAGAACTCAGGGTGACAGGTAAACCATTGGGGCAGTGCCCTTGGCCAGTTTTAGTGCCCCCTGCTGTCCCGTATTACTTCCTCTGAGTATACACAGTTGCTTTTAACTTGCTTTTGCATGTCTTAGTCTGTATGATTTCATTCCTAAAAGAAAAGGGAAAAAGAGGTAAAATGAAGATTGAGGGACTAGGCACTAACCTCTTTAATGTTCCCATAAGTCATTCTTGCAGGAGAATAGGTTTGGTACAATGGCAAGATGTATTTACCAGTCTATATCTCTGTGTGGTCAGAGGACAGGATCTAGCATTTGTAGAATAGTTACTTTCTTTTCCCACCTTGATTCCTGCAAGCTGTGTGCAGGCTGTTCTAGGAACAGAGCTTCCTGGCACAGGCTGTGGATTTTGGATGGAAAATAGAGCAGAAATTAACTATAATTTGCTTTCCCCCGAAGGTTGTAAGCAAAAGACTCCAGAATTCAATATCAGTTACATCAGACAGATTCTATCAGTGACATTTTTGTCTAGGTGAGGAGACAGATTCTTGGTGCTTCCTTCTCTGACATCTTCCCAGGATTTTTTATTTCCCATTCCTTAAAACACACACACACACACACGCACATACACACACACACAAACAATATGATGGTGGGCCTTCCTGGTGGTGCAGAAGTTAACGTCTGCTCTGTCAAGCTATTGGCAACCTCTATAGCTTGAGCTCAGTCCCTACCAGGAAGCGAACCCACATATAGTGAGTACATCAGACATTTCCTATTTCATCTGCTGCCCCCCTCAGCAGTAAAGTTCAGTAGATCTCCTATTTTGCTTCCAACTCTGTTTCTGCAGAATCTTCTCATCCCCACAACTCTGACCTATACCCTTTTATGCATAAATAAAAAAAAAATGAAAAAATAAAAATCTTAAAAAAAAAAGCATTATGGTATTTTCTTTCATTTTAATTTTATAAAAATAACATTATAGGCTCTCCCTGGTGGCTCAGAGGGTTAAAGCACAGCGCTGAGAAGCTAAAGCCACTTGCGCATGAGTTCCATTGCCACCTGCCCGGAGGTGACCACATGGTGTGGCAGACCTCTCCTGGCCCACCCGCTGCTCCCCTCAGCAGTGTACTTAGTCGTAGGTCTGCCTGTTCTGCTCCCCACTCTGTCTCTGGTGAAGCCTCTCACCGCCCCTGAGCCTCTGGCCTGTACCCCAGTTCTGTATGCACAAATAAATAAATCTTTAAAATAATAATAATAAAACAGCATTATAACATACCTAATTTGTAGGTACTTAATTTTTTTCTTCTTTTAACTTTTCACTTCAAATACTTATGTATGGTTCTCTTTGAAAATTTGTTGACACTTGAAATAGCAAATATTTCCATTAATTCTCAATTTTGAGAAGTTATCCAATGGTTTCCAAAACTGCTGAATTATTCCAGATAACAAGAGATCAATTTATGCATTTGTAGCAAAGAACACTGGCCCTCCCTGGTGGTGCAAGGGGTTAAAGCACAGCGTTGGGAAGCTGGTCTCAGCCACTGTAAAAGTTCAGGGACTCATATGGACGTGAGATTGCATGTTTCAGCAGTTTACAGGACTATTTCAGATTTGGTCTTTGCTTGTTTTAAGGTTTATTTATTTATACATACAAAACTGGGATGATACTGGCCAGAGGTACAGGGGCGGTGAGAAGATTCATCAGAGACAGAGTGGGGAGCACAACAGGCAGATCGAACAAGTGCACTGCTGAGGGGAGCAGTGAGCTAGACAGGCTGTGCCATGTGGGTCACCTCCTTCTGGGGACCCAAGCCATTCCGAAGCAGCTGCGTCCATTTTCCCAACACTGCTTTAGTCTGTTGCACCACCAGGGAGGGAACTCGGACTTGATTTTTCTATCAGATAATTTCTGAAAGAAAGTAATACTATGCAAAGCTTCTTGAGTGGTTGTTGCATTACCAGCAGAGAACATATTTAATTCTCCTGAAAACTAATCTACTTAGAAATATGGTACTAGACATTGTGGGAGTTGCTATGTTGTTCAGGATGTGGATACAGAGAATAATTTGGGATTATGATTTTGTTAAGTATTTATATAGTAGTTTCTAAATACATATTTTCACCTATCAACCTTATCTCAAGCTGATGCTGACAAGTCAATCCATTTCCTTGACTCTAGAAGCTTATTAAATGTGTTCTGAAATGTAAGAAAGTCAATCCTACATCACAGTGTAACTTTTTATGTTTCTATAAATATAATGGAAAACAATCAAAAGTTGGCAATTCTGAAGAAAAAAAAATAGTATAACACTAATACTATAATAACAACAACCCACATCCTGTGGATTGTCTTCTTTTGATGCATAGCCTGATCTTGGAACACAAATTCTAACTTCTGTTTTACTATACTTAAACATGCATTTTTTAATGTATTGCTGAAAAGATTAATTTGAGGTTGTTACTCTGTTATAACATACTTCATTTTGTAACAGGAAGCTGAGTTTTGGAGGACACAAAATATCTTGTAAACTATGACTAGGCAAGTTTCTGAATGAATTTGAGTAAGAAGAAATCTTGTTATACTTCTAATTGAAATTGTACAAGAATTTTTTTTTTCCTTTTTTGTCTGAATCTTCAAAACTTACAGTATTTGAAATACTGGAAAACATTCTATTAAAATAATACTGATTTGTGAAATTCATATTTTTTAAAAAGTGGGAAAATTGTTTTGAATGCATATCAAAATTTACTTTGCAGTTAAATAATGCTAATTTCTGTCTTACAAATTCTGTAATGAAACACTAGGTTGAAACCCAAGTTGTATGTCAATAATGCCATAGCTTATAATATCCTAGATACCATGATGATTTTTAATTTCTATATAGATGATAGTGTTATTGTTAATAGTATAATTAACTGTACTATTATATAAATCATATAATTATAGCTTATATATATTATATATAATATATATTCTACAATATATTATACCATAGTATATATACTATATAAAATTATATTATATAAGTACTAGTGAAAATTGAATATAATTGTATGTGACAAAAATATGACAGTCACAGATTTGGCTAGCATCATGGGGTGGGAACATGCCAGGTGAATGTTAGGTTGTGGAATTATTCCTCCCACCATTTTTTAAGCTTATATTCTATTGTAGTGTTTCTAGTTATACAAAAATTCTGATTTTTCAGGGAAATTATTAAGAACTCACATTAATAGGCCTTTTTTTTGTAAATCTGAATAACATTCAGAAACACAGTATAAGCATGAAATTACATATGTATATTTGATGAGCAATACAGACAATATCTATATAGCCAGCTGCACACTCCTGCAATTTCTCTTGAAAGTCACTAATATGTTAAATATGACATCTTACTTGGTCATCAGTTTAAGACATTATTAGAACATATTTTCAAAAATATACTTAAATTCATGAGAGGAGAGATAATGAGAGTGTGATCATTAATGATTAGATAGCAAAACTGGAAACAATGTTCAAATATTTAAAATTAGTATTCTGTTGTTCAGGTATTGATTTATAGAGGTCAGCTCCATCTTCTCCTGCATACAACTGATTTAATAACCATGTCACATTAAAGCTAGTAATCATTTCAAATCAATAGGCTGTTCCTCACAAGGAATGCCTTTAAAGAGTATCAATAACTTAAGCCTGGAATTTAATTCTAAAGGTTGCAGTATTGGCAGAATAGATCTGTGTAGCAACTAATAGCAAACAGAACTTTGGGTGTATTTTCAATTATGCTTTTGGACTCTTTTAAAGATAATTTCTATAAAATGTGTTTTGCAGAACTTAATTTCATGATACTTTCCATTTGTAAAAATTTATTTCTTTTCTTGATAATTTATCACCCTTTCATTTGCTCCAAAAAACGAAGAAGAAATGTGATAAAATTCTGTTGAAAAGTAAATGGAATAGATTGATATGTCTTCCTTATGGATAAAGTCACAATATTTCAGTGCCTTGAAATTTTTGCTTATATTTTGAAATTTATAGAAATTTTTACTTTTGTTTTCTACATTTAGACTACTCTGCAGAATGTTGAGAATCCCATAGAAGTAACTTCTGAAGAAGGAATACGTTGCTTTATGTTATTCAACTGAGACCATTATTTTTCAAAGAAAGTAATTGTGAGTAAATTAATGAGTTATTATCATTTCTCGACAATTCTTTGAGAGCCATTTTTTTTGAGTATTGAATATTATGAAACCTTTTATTCTTATCTACATTAGACTAATGTCAAACATTTTGAAAAATCTCATAATATGGAGAAGATAAACGCATCGATGTTTAGCAGTTTGACTATGGTTGGACATATTTTTCAACATATTTAATTTTAAAAACTATGTTGATTTTGTGGTATTCCTTTTATGATCCTTACTCAGAGATATGTTTATTATCAATTGTTTTTTCAAAAGTATACTTTGTTAGTTAAGAGAATCTTGACTCCTCATTAAGAAAAACATTGGTGCAAGGGTGAGTATATAAAAGACCAAGGGTCCTTCCTTGGGAAGCTTCTGAACAATATCCTATACCTAGATGCTAAGTAGCTATCAAACTCCCTTTTGTTTAGTCAGAATAGAGTATTAAAGAGAGTTAAATTAGAAATGCAAGTCAAATATGACTTCAGAAAGAAAGCATGGATCAATATAGGAAAAGCACAGTGAATGCATCTCTGGTGATAGGGCAAGTGTTATTATTTGAAGAGCTTATTTATTTTGTTAGAAAGAACAGAACCTGGTTTTCAAAGGCTAGAATAAAAACCATTAAATTTATTTTCATGATAAATTATCACCTTATTTTGGAATTATTATTACTCATTAGTACAAAATTTTCAGTTTGGATTTAGTAAGAACCATGCCATTTATTGCCTTCTGCAAAATTTAAAGGGATACTAATCTTACAAGTGTGTTATTTATATATTGCTGCATTAAATTATATTTAAATGTAAATTAAAATGGCAAGCATATTTGAGAATATGTGTTTGTGGTGAAAACTATGATGTTCTGAGGATGATGCATCCATGCATGTAAATGTCTATTAATGGATTTCCTACTGTGTTTTTGAGGATTATGACAAGGTTCAAAGTCACTTAAGATTGAAAACAATTATTTCTAGAGTCATTCTGGCTGCTAAATATTCCATTAAACTTGGAAGTCACAGTATGCTGTATTTCTCTAGTAGAACCTAGATATAGATTACTAATTATCAATTTTGTCTTCTTCACTCATTTTTGCCCCCAACCATCTGAATCAAGCTCACAGTTTCCCCTTTAGCTATAAATAGTGTTTGAATCAGTTAAATAAACTAAAAAATTTACAATGCTCATTTGTTTAGAAAATGAAGATAATGCATTTTAGTGTACCAGAAATTCTGGGCTTTATATAAAACTTTCAAATCATTTTTCACTTTTTCCCCATAATTAGACCTTTTATTCAAGTAAATACTGCTCATAAGTGGCAAAATTACTGCTTTTAAGGGATGGATAATCATACCAAGGAATTTGTAATTTTCTCACAGCAGGTATGGTCCTTTAGATTTTAAAATTATGAGTGTGCAAATCCCATCTTTTGTGATTTCAAGGAATTATACATTGTAAACCTTGACCGCAAGCCAGAAAGATTTCATAATATAAATGAAGAATAGACAAAGCAGTCATAAAGTGTCTTGTGGAAATTCACTTGAGGGTGACTATTTTTTTCTTCAAAGTACTTCCTTTTGAACTCACAAAGAATAGTTAATTAGTTATTTTAAAAATCCAGGATTTATTTCAAGTATTTATTATTTTTTAATTTTTCTTAGATATTTATCTTTGCCTGATTTTTTTTTCAGTTCAAAATATCTTATTGACATGCAATTTGTTCTAATCAGTATTGTTTTGAGGAAGGATTAATGTAAAGAGGCAAATCATGATCTTATACCATATAACTTACCCACTTATTTTCTGATACTTTCACAAATGCTCTGCATGTATTTACTGGATTTCTTATAATCTCTGACCTTATAGTAGAATTTTACTTGTGCTTCTTTGTTTTATTTGAGCTCATAGTTTTACACATTTGTAGATAAACAGGCTTCATATTTGAATGGAAATAAGCCACTTGTGCAAGAGCAAACTGGTGCAGTGTGTGAGCAACCATCCAGTTGTATTGTTGTAGGGCAGGGAGAGGGACACCCCTGAACTCCCAAATCCGCCTGCTCTAAGTAGGTTCTGCCATCTGTCGCATCAAGACAAGGCATAAAACCTTTAAAGGAAAGGACCTTTAATACAATGACTGTTCAATACAGAAAGGACAAAGAATATAGCTTGAAAATCAGACACCCGAAACTACCCATCCCCTCGGGGGTAAAAGTCTACCCAAAAGGGATTGGTCCAAAGCAAGGCCTGAAAGCCCATCACAAGACTAAAGCACTTTCTTTCCAAGACTCATAGAAAAGGGTCAGAAGTGGCTGGACATGTCTGGGCGGAAAAGAGCGAAATCAAAATTAAGATAAACTTTGCCATAGTTAACCTCCCACTGGTCTCTCACCCACATCTGTTTCACCCAGACCAGTACCAGGAAATAAGAGCTGCTTCTTCACACGTCTCTCTGCATCTAAAGCCTCCCTCAGGCCTCCTGGCTCTCCATCCTGCTACCTTCCTTTTCTATCTCCTCTCCAGATTCTTCTCTTCTCTCCTCAGTTCCACTTTCTTTTGGATGGGGCAGGGAACCTGGAGCTCTCCTTTTCCTGGGGACCACCCTGTTATAGTATGAGCTGCCTGTGTTTTCTGCTTATTGCTCTATCAATTGGCTAGAGGATTGCTGTGTCTACTGGGTATTTTCTTCTTTCCAGAACAGGGAATTTTTTTTTTTTTATATCAATACTTCATATTAGTTGACAAATTATATGCTATTGCTGTTTTTTTGTGTTTTAGGCATTGTTGAAGCTAACCATAAATGTTGATGAGTCTTTCTTTTCCCTGTTCCTTCTGTGTGTTATACATGGTATCTGTTCAGGAAATGTAACTTCTATCTGACCCATTTGCTACCAGATTTATTATTCAAATACCCTGTCCTTGAGAGAAGAAATTTGCACACCACACATACAAGGAGTTGATTTCCAAAATATAAAAATAACTCATACCACTGAATAGCAACAAAACAATAACTTCAATCAAAATAAATGAGAAAAGTACCTTGTTAGACATATCTACAAAAAAGATGTGACAGTCACATCTCCTACAGGCCCATAGAAAATTGTTCAGCATATGTTTTTATATAATCTTATGATCATGTGATTTGTTATTTATTATTATGTGAAAATCCTTTATTCAAAAGCTTGGAAACAACAAATACAGGTAAGAATGTAGAGAAAAAGGGACCCACTATGATAGAGGAGGCAATTTGGTGTCTCCTCTATGGAAAATGGTAGGAAGATTCATCAAACAACTCCTCAAAAAGGTGCCATTTGATTCAGCAATTTTGGCTAGGTATTTGCCAAAAAAAAATAATAATATGAAAACTCTCACACACAAAGATGCATGCATTGCTATGTTCATGGCATAATCATTTGCTATAGCCAGAACATGGTTACAATCTAATTGTAGATGACTGGATAAAGAAATTGTGAGATACACACTCAATGGAATACTATCTCTGTAAATAATATAGCTATATAAATACTTGAACATTTACTAAAATTTAGGAAAAATAAACTAAAATATTTTTTCAGAATAATATTGAATAAAAAAATCCTCATCCTTTCAGTTACATCTGTGATGCTAGTTACAGATTTAACTTGTAAAAACATGTGTTTCTACTTTTGTTGACTGTTATTAAATTCTAAGAAGCTTATCCTTGAGTCCAAGACAGATTTCATATCCCAGACACCCTCCTTACTTTTGTCTGACTATTTTGCATATGTGGATCTGACTGAATAAATACCTACCAGAGGTAGAGCTGTGGGCAGCCAGTGATGTTGTTCCTTGATGTGGAAACAAGGATGATGACATAGGCTTGTTTTTAGTTTTGATGTTTTTTTTTTTTTTTTCTATGAGTGATTAATGGAAGATACTATAAATCCCCCTAATGGCTCCAAATACATATTTCAGAAAAAAATAATGAATTGATTAAAATGTTTATGTAACTTTAGATTGTTCATTTCAAAGACTTTCTCTTATAGTTGAGAAATGCCTTACTATTCAAGAGGAACTCTCTGATGTGCTCCTATTCATCTCTTCCTTAGTATGAATGGATTTCTCATGGTTCTTGATTTTTTTTTTTTAAAGATTTATTTATTTATTCGTACAGAACTGGGGTACAGGTCAGAGATGCGGAGGGTGAGAGGATTCATCAGAAACAGAATGGAGAGCAGAACAGGCAGATCGACGAAGTACATGCTGAGGGGAGCAGCGGGCGGGTCAGGAGAGGTCTGCCGCGCCATGTGGTCACCTCCGGGGCAGGCGGGAATAGAACTCATGCTGAAGTGGTTTAAGCTTCTTTGTGCTGGGCTTTAACCCACTGCGCCACCAGGGAGGGCCCATGGTTCTTGATTTTACTTTCCATGGATAGATTGATCTATTTTCCTTTAGTCTGGGGGTTCCATCACTCCCATTCTAGAAATTCAGTAAAGGGAAGCTTGGATAATTCTAGTCAGGTAGATTTTGGCTACCTCTTAGGGCTCAACATCTACTTATGAATGTATGTCTGAAGAAAACCATTAGGTCACCATCAGATATATTTAATGGTGAAGCAAACAATAACAAAAGATTCTTCAAACATTCTCATAAACGGGCCCTCCCTGGTGACACAAGAGGTTAAGTCTCAGCATTATGAATCTAGCCACAGCCACTGCAGATCTAGCTCGATCCTCAGCCTGGGAGCTGACACACATGGTGCAGTAGATATCTCCTGTCTCGCCCACTGCTCTCCTGAGCAGTGTTTTTTGTTTGGTCAGCCTGCCTCTTCTGTTCCCCAGACAGTCTCTGGTGAATCCTTTCACACCCCTATACCTCTGGCCATACTCCCAGTACTGGTATGCATAAATAAATACATTAAAAAAATCTTATAAACATTACCATTTAAATACAGGGCACTTTCTCATGGTGCAAAACAGAATTAGAGAAATTGAGTGTGGCTTTTAAAATGAA